GGCTATAATTATAAAGTACAAAAGACCAACCAGAATACAATTAAGTTGCGTTATTTGAGTTAAGCATTGTTCTCCGCTGTTAAGGCTTTTACTTTTGCGAAACACATGTGGAGAAGTTAATTTGATTTTTCAATTTCAACTGAGAAGTGTACCTACAAATATCAGTATCATCTTATGAAATTTATATGATCTTATTTTTATATTAATCTCAGTTATGACATTTTTCCATAAATGAAATATCAAAATGAATAATAAAATGAATGGAAATACAAATAACACAGTAAAATGTAATAAAATTATAGTATTTTATGTACACTTCTGATAAAATTTCATAAGAAAGGTACCTATAAATTAATTAGATACTTTTCTTATGAAAAATGAAATTTAATCTAACTCTTAAAGTCTTATTTTAATTTCTTTATAAGATATTTTCCATAAAGCATCATAAACCTAAAGGTGAAAGCTAAGTCCAAAAAAAAAAAAAAAAAAAATTAAAGCACTGAAAGTTTTCCTTAAAAATAATGAGGTAAATAATTTGTTCACTTAAATCTAAATAACTTCACTTTTCAGCTTCCGTAGAACAAATTATGATCACGCCAATACGTATTCAACACCCGTCAAGTGATGCGAAAGGTTATGACTTGCTTTGTTTTATTTTCAAATTACATCTTTTTGGCACAGAAGCTAAGTTAACCTTGGTTCAAAATATTTTAAATAAACATAATTTCTGATTTTCTTAAAATAAGTTTTGAAAAAATGATAATTGATTTTTAAAAGAATTTCAAAGTGAGATTTTCATCTTTTTTATAAAATGGAAAAAAATGGATGCCATAATTGATTATCTGTCAATTTTGCTGACTCAAAAAAAACAAGATTTTTAACGAAAATTTCGGACGTGCTCAGAATGATTAAAAAATGTAAAAAAATACCCCCAAAATACTTTGATCTTTCCTTTTAATAATAACGTGAACATTTAGATGATAAAATTTTGTTTTCGTCAAGTTTGGCATCTTTTTCATCCTGCTATGCTCTTTTTTAGCGATCTCATGGAGCTAGCTAACTATCCAGAGATTGGGTAACAGAGACCGAATTCAACGTCCTCTGGCGGGATATCTGGATTTTGGGGGCAGGTACAGTTTCTGTTGCATGCTGGGAGTATTTTTTTTTTTATTTAATTTATTTCAAACAACGTTTTTTATGTTATTCGTTTTTATTTTATTTATAATATTTTAATTAATATCACTACACTACAGACTCAAAATTTTATCATTTTTTTGGCATCAAATTGGCACTGATCCTGTTTAGTTTATTCATTTTAGAATTTGTATTTTTAAATTCTAAACAACATTTTTTATTATTGATGTTCATTTTCGTGATTGAAAACAATAATTTCCAGATGTCACAAATGTCAATCTAAATTTGAATGAGCGGAAAAACACATGGAGTTTTTTGTGGGGGGGGGGCGAGGTACATTTGCGCCGAGATGTTAATAATGCTCTTTCAAATCGGGGAGACGTTTCAAAATGATTTGGGCACACCCATAATTTTGTTTTTGTTTTACTTACATTTATTTTAACATTTTCAAGTTTGTTTTTTTACTGAATGAAATCTATTCTTAAAATTTAAAGTTAGCAAATTCAAGAGATGGGTTGGTGAATAATAGTTTTCTTTTGAACCGGTATTATTGCCTTTGTTTCTGTATCTAACCAAGTAGCTATTTTCCGGGGCTGCTGAATTATCACTCTGGTATCGATGTATATATGCTAAAAAGTAAACTTAAACAGTTTGTGCTAGATTTTCATACACAGACATCAAAGGGATACTATGGAGATGGTACATATTACTTCGGCAATTTAACTAAATTGGTTCCATTCCTGCAGACAAGAATCAGCGCCATTTCTACGTAAAAATAGTGCTTCGAACTAAAAGACTACGTATGTATTAAAAACCCAAAAAACAAAACATTTGGAATGCCCCCCACACACAAGGCACCTCAATCCATAACAGTAACTGAAATATGAAAAGAAAAATTGCACCAAAGAAAACGGTAAATATTGGTTTTGTTACCCGTGCGTTAATATCCCTTAAAATATTTCCAAAATCGTCATAATTCCGTGCAAATGTACATGCTGAACTTGAATTAACAATTAAATTATGAAGAAACCTTATCGTTTTGGAGTTATTGACAAGAAAAAAATCGAACTTCTTGTTGGTCATTCGTCCCCCATTACTGCCATTATGAATCTCGATTCAATGCGGGATACCTACGCCGGCGTAATAAGAAAAATTGGCCTATTTACTTCTTTTACAGACTTTCCTTGCAGAAAATCATTACGCATGGGTAACAAAACCAATATTTACCATGAAAACCACCGCCAGAGATTGTCTAAAAGAAGAAATGATAATCTGGACATGTGAAGCCAAACGATGATCTGTGCAAAAAAAAAAAAAAGCATTGAAACGTCGATTCTTTCCAAAGTCTTGGCAATGAAGAAGTAAATAAAAAATATATTTCCCTAGAAAATACTAACTTTTCAATTTTTGTTCATATATTTCTACATTTTGCACACAAATGAACGCAATATTTTTAAGGTGAAAAAAAAATCTTACTAGCTTGATTTTGGAGTGAGGTTTCCAAACTTTTGCAAGATCACTTACCGATTTGATGAGTTTTTGGGGCCCAGAACATAATTCTTGCAAGAATGTCCATAATAATTGCAAGTCTGAAGACTTGATTACTTTAAAACGTAGTGTTAGTCATGATATATTGAATGGCGTGTTTTTGTTCGTATTTTTCTGGGAGAACGGTTAAAAGGTCAAAATAGCTTTTCAAATGACATCAATGAAAAACGAACTAGAAGTGACTTCCAATATGGGCTGATAAAACGCTGTCATTCATTGGTTCAAGGTAAAACTTAAGAACCAATAGAAGAAGGTGTTACATTTGGTATCGCATTTCAAAGAAAACAATTGCACAACATTCTAAGTAGAGGGACAATTAATTAGAGAAATATTAAATTGAATTTAAGTAATAATGACACAGGTAAAAATGGTACAAATGAAAAAATAGATATATTAAAAATTACAATATTGGCAAAAAGTTGGTTTTGAATGCAATCTATTTTTTTAATATTAGGAAAAAAATTAAATTGTTTTACCTCCATTTTTGTTAAATATCAATTTACGTTTAAAAAATTATGAAAAACAATTATAATAAAATCAAATATGTTTAACACGAGTACACCGTTTTCAACCTTTAAAAACAGAATTTAATAACTAAAATTTTATGTTGTGACGAAGTCGTTTTTCCCGTGCCATTTTTATATCTGTGCCACTATTACTTAATAAATTACACTCTACCTACAGAGATATTAATCGACTAATAGATTTTTAACATTTCATTTCCGTTGATAATTTGAATAAGCCAAATGTGATATATCGCTAATTTCCAATATTTCATTTTTGCCTGCCAATTTGAATCTGTTCATAAATATGGAAAACGTAGAAAATCGATAGCAATTTACTAAGCGTAGGTTAGATGTGATACACAGCCTCAAGTATAGCGCACCCAGTGAGAATATAACTCACTACTTAGTCATAATTGAGCGAGACAAGCTTGCTAACCATTAGTGCAGAGTGATTGAAAAAAGTAACTCCTTATGTCTGATTTCAATCACCCTGTATACTGCAATTATGGTGATTTCTCATTAATAATAATAATGTTGGGTTAACTTTCTCTCCGCTTCTCTAATTAGTATGCACTTGTAGACTCGTCTTTTTCTTACTTACCACCCCTAGCAACAGAACAGTCTATATCTTACGCCTGTTGCGGGGCCGAGTAGGATGTCGCCCTGCAAGGTTTTTTTTGGATACGATAAATGTGAACAGCCAAGACAATGACGGGACAAAAAAAAATGAACAAAGGTGTCGTTTTTATTCACACATTTACATCGGTGAACGAAAACTGGTTAATCGACGAACGTTGGTCTGGTTGGTCTGGTCCGGTAGTTGGTCTGGCCCGGTAGTTTAGGGTTTGGTAGGCGAAAGTTGGTTCGGTAGAATGTAGCTGGTCCGGTCGAATGTAGTTGGTCTGGCCTGGTAGTTTAGGATTGGTAGGTGAGAAATTGGCCTGGTAGTTTAGGATTGCAGGTGAGGTGAGCGTAGCTGGTCTGGTCGAAAGTAGCTGGTCTGGCCCGGTAGTTTAGGATTGGTCGGCGAACGTAGTTGGTTCGGCCGAAATGCGAAGACGGAGTCCCTAAACAGGGCCAAGGCAGACTAGTGATGCAACTTCACTGGGCGGATCGACCGCGGGGAACGGGATCGCGCCAAAGTGTATCACCAGGCGAAGACGGAGTCCCTAAACAGGGCCAAGGCAGACTAATGCTACTTCACTGGGCGGATCGACCGCGGAACGGGAAAGTGTCACCAGGCGAAGACGGAGTCCCTAAACAGGGCCAAGGCAGACCAGTGATGCTATTTCACGGGGCGGATCGACCGCGGAACGGGATCGCGCCAAAGTGTATCACCAGGCGAAGACGGAGTCCCTAAACAGGGCCAAGGCAGATTTACAACTCCACGGGGCGGATCAACCGCGGAAACGGGATCGCGCCAAAGTGTATCACCAGGCGAGGTAGGTCAGAGAGTTACACCTTCCAGGGCGGATCGACCGTGGAGACGGATCGCGCCGAAGATGACCGGAAATTACATGATCCAGGCCTCCGGGCCGAAGTTTGGGCGAAAAAAATAAGGATATTTGCAAAGAATGGCTAGAGGAGTAGAAGGCCGTAGATAATAAATTATAGTCTATGGTTGCCGATGTTTAGAATGGCTCAGCATAGTCAGATGCGTACTAGGTATGGTTTGACATCAACGATATTGACTAGCCGTCCGGTTTCTGGCCTGTTGCTTGAAGAAGATCGAGAGTTGTGAAGGTCAAGGTCGGCTTTAAAAGGAGCGGATAATCGGCGACCGCGACAAGGCCCTTCCCCAGAAAATTGAAATTAATAATAATAATATTTACGAAGGTCTTTAGGGAAAGTGACCCTCCTACCGGATCGGGTCTGCCGCACAGGAGTCGCTGGGGTGTCGTTTGATGTCTGCGGTGCTGCGTCTGATGGGTGCGCTGGAATAGCATTAGGGGGCCGCAGAGCCGGGTTTGCGTCATACTGTCGCTTCTCCAGAAAAAAGGCTTGGTTATTGCGAAAAAAAGTTGGCGCCTTGAAGGTGCTTGTCGGTGCGTCGAAGAACCTGAAAAGGACCTTTTGGTAAGTGGTCGTCTCACGGCGTCGTTCCGTACGAAACGAATTTGCAATCTCGCAATTCACCGGTTGCTGTCGTGGAGTTGCATATTTAAGCCGGGCCATTTTGTGGCGGAGTTCCTCGACGAAAGGAGATGTTGGTTTTGAAAACGTCTGAAGGGAGTCGTCGAAATTCGCCGGTAGCGCAAGAGGTGTACCGAAACCAGTTCGGCGGGTGAACAACCTAAAACGGTGTTCCTCAATGCTGGGAGAATTAAAGGTAGGTCGTCCACCCAATTGATAGTGTCAGGTTAGTGGCCAGGGAGGTTTTTAGGGACCGATGAAACCTTTCAACTAAGCCGTTGGCGCACGGATGATAAGCGGTAGTCTTTATGTTTTTTTAGGTTGGTAAACTCGAAAAAGGGACGACTAAAATGGGGCGTGCCGAAAGTTCCAATCCACCTTTCAGGATGGTAAGAGACTGTGTTAGCAGAAAGGTATGGCGGTCGGCCACCGCGAAAAACGATCCACAACCGTCAAAAATACTGGTAATTACATTATTTGTGAGAACCGTGCATCGGGACTGCTGAAGGTGCCGACGGGGATTTAGTGTGGTTTTCCATGCACGTGGAAACCCATTCTCGAATGTCCGCATTCATATTGGGCCAAACGAATCGGTCGGTAATAAGTTTATTAGCTCGCTTACTTGGATGAGACAGCCCGTGGAAATGTTGGAATACCTGTCTCCGAAGTGTCGGTGGGAAATAGGCTGGTTCACAGTACAGGTGTCGTCGCTGAAGGATGCAGGGAACTCCCGAAGCTTTAAAGAAGTATTCGAAAGGACGTCTTGCAGCGTGGGGTCGGATTTTTGTTCAATTTGACCCAAGACGCCGGTCTGAAGAGATTGAATTTCCGCTCGCGATAACAGTCTGCGACGGCGTTGTCCTTCCCTTTATGTGACGAATATCGGTCGAGAACTGTGACAAGTCGAGATGCCGGATCTCGCGAGCTGTCATACTTGTCAGAGTTGTTACTCATCGCGGTTGTCAACGGTTTATGGTCGGTATAGATGGTAAAATCTCGACCTTTTGCCTGAAATGCCTGACGGCCAGATAAATGGCCAGCAGCTCTCGGGAGAAGGTGCTATATTTTCTGGGCTGGCGAAAGCTTAGCTGAAAAGAAATGGGTTCGCGTTGTGAGTTGAACTCTTGCTCAACCACCGCGCCCACACCAGCGTCGGATGCGTCGGTCGTCAGGAATTCTGGATCGTCGTTGATATGCGAAAGCCTGGTATAATTCGCCAATGCAGCCTTCGCTGTATGGAATGCGTGCAGAGCATCTTCCAAAGAGATGTCCTTGTTTTTCTCTGCAGCAAGTTCGTCAGTGGCTGGAGGATGGTAGCGCAATTTGGTATGAACCGACGATAAAAATTGAGCATGCCGAGGAAACGTCGCAATTGCTTATGGACGTCGGTAGGAAAGTCCCGGATCAGCTGATCTTGTCTGGCAGAGGTGCTATGCCGTCTGCGTCGGTGCGGTGCCCGAGAAATAACGCTGGGCGCCCCGAAAACGCACTTGTCCAGGTTCAACTTCAGGCCGTAGTCGAGAGTCGCTGGAAGATTGAGAATCGGCGTCATATTGGCCACCAAGATGTCGTCGATAAGGCGTATACATGCAGAAGTCCGCAGGACTTCGTCTATGAGTCGTTGAAGGTTGGCAGCGTTACGTAGACCGAACGGCATTTTAGAAATTCGTATAAAACGGTGTTGTGACTGCCGTTTTTGGGACGTCTTCCGCAGCGACGGGGATCTGGTGGTATGCCTTTGTCAGGTCGATTTTCGAGAAGATGCGAGCCCCCATCAATCCGGATGCAAAATCATGGATATGAGGGACAGGATATCGGTCTGGTACGGTCGATGCATTCAATTTCCGGTAGTCGACGCATATCCGAAATTCTTCACCACCAGGTTTAGGCACTAATGTAGTGGCGAGGCATAAGGGCTATCGGAAGGACGAATGATGCCATCACTGAGCATTTTGTCGAATCTCCTTGGCGTACGCCAGTTTGTGCGGAGCGAGTCGTCGCGGATGGGGAGTGTGCGGAGGACCTCGGGTTCTGATGTGGTGCTGAGTCTGATGGTCACCTGAAGCCGTTACTTGGAGTGGCAGCGTTATATCCGTGAACTGCGTCAGGAGATCTAAGTACTCGCGACCATGGCAACTAAGACACGGAGATTCGTCGTCGTATCGGACAGAGTCCTAGGGTTCATATGGACCGCCAGTGCGTAATGCGCCAGGAAATCCGCGCCGAGGATGGGTACTTTCACGTTGGCCACGGTAAATGTCCAAGTGAAATCGCGTCGCATGCCGATATTCCAAGGGTCCTTTCTCCGTACGTGTCTATGAACCATTGCTGCTCGTAGTTTGATCAGGTGGGCTTAGCGGTGTGGTCAAACCACGCTGATGGCCGCACCTGTGTCCACCAGGAATTTCAACTTGTTCCGTCGATCCCAAACGTAAAATAGACGACATTGCGTGTTGTTAGTCGTCGCGACTCAGTACAGGAGGTTTACAATTCCTGGCCTCATCGCCGAATGTGCGATGAAACCAACAAACACCCTGGTCGCTTTCGCCGTTCTCGGCTGGGGGTTCGTCTCCGTCGAGATGGGGTCGATGTCCTCGTCCGCGGGCGCAGGGAGATCTGGAGCCCTGAATTTGCCGTTGAAGGTCGGCCAACGCCCGTTCCGTTTTACCAACTTTGTCGGGGCGCGAACAGCGTTAACGCTGTGGTCGAACTGTGCAAAAACAAGATCAGCAGATTCTGCCAAATCATCCAGAGGCGTGGCTCGTCATTGGTGCGATGATTTGTGCAACAGATTTAGGCAAATGCTCCAGCCATAAACCTCGAAGAACCTTTTCTGATACGCTTTCCCCAGCTGGTTCCTCATATATCTGAGAAGCTGGGATGGCGTTTTGTCGCCTCTAGTGACGTTCCGCAGTATCCTTGGATCATATCTTCCTCGGAACGTCCGGTTCGCTTGAGGATAACTTCCGTTGTGATCGTACGGTTCATGCTCGCGCAAATCGGAGAGGACATCAGAAATTTCGTCCATCATATCAGATGGGAGTTTCTGCATTACATTCGCGAATCTGGCTCGCTGTGAAAATGCGAGCATTGAAAAAGATGGATTCCACCTGCAAGAACCAGTTCTGGCAAGGCAGAGGTATGATCGCAGCCGTCATGTCCAAAGAATCACTTTTTAGCCGACTCCATCATCGCTTAGCTGTCTCACGTCGGGAAACACCACTTTAGGGGATGTCGCCCCAAGGTTTTTTTTTTTGATACGATTTGACGGGACAAAGGCAAAGGTTTTTGTTATGAACAAAGGTGTCGTTTTTATTCACATTTACATCGGTGTGGTCCGAAAACTGGTTAATCGACGAACGTAGCTGGTTCGGTCGATTTAGCTGGTCTGGTCCGGTAGTTGGTCTGGCCCGTAGTTTAGGTTTGGTAGGCGAACGTACGGTAGAATGTAGCTGGTCCGGTCGAATGTAGTTGGTCTGGCCTGGTAGTTTAGGATTGGTAGGTGAGCGTAGCTGGTCTGGTCGAAAGTAGCTGGTCTGGCCTGGTAGTTTAGGATTGGTAGGTGAGCGTAGCTGGTCTGGTCGAAAGTAGCTGGTCTGGCCCGGTAGTTTAGGATTGGTCGGCGAACGTAGTTGGTTCGGCCGAAATGCGAAGACGGAGTCCCTAAACAGGGCCAAGGCAGACTAGTGATGCTACTTCACTGGGCGGATCGACCGCGGGAACGGGATCGCGCCAAAGTGTATCACCAGGCGAAGACGGAGTCCCTAAACAGGGCCAAGGCAGACTAGTGATGCTACTTCACTGGGCGGATCGACCGCGGAACGGGATCGCGCCAAAGTGTATCACCAGGCGAAGACGGAGTCCCTAAACAGGGCCAAGGCAGACCAGTGATGCTACTTCACGGGCGGATCGACCGCGGGAACGGGATCGCGCCAAAGTGTATCACCAAGGTAGGTCAGAGAGGTGTTACACCTTCCAGGGCGGATCGACCGTGGAGACGGGATCGCGCCGAAGAGTAACACTCGACAAAAGCACCGGAAGTTACAAAGGTAGTGTACTAACTTTGATCCAGGCCTCCGGGCCGAGCTGCCTAGTTTGGGCGAAAAAAAAGTGTCCAAGGATATTTGCAAAGACCCCTTAAAGGCCGTAGATAATAAATTATAGTCTATGGTTGCCGATGTTTAGAATGGCTCAGCATAGTCAGATGCGTACTAGGTATGGTTTGACATCAACGATATTGGACTAGCCGTCCGGTTTCTGGCCTGTTGCTTGACCCAGATCTGCGAGATCGAGACGAAGGTCAAGGTCGGCTTTGTAAGGAGCGGATAATCGGCGACCGCGACACGCCTACGTACGGAAAACTCCAACCTAACTTGCTGATTGGTCAGTTCCGACCAATCAAACCGCCTGCACACGACCAATCTGTTTTTCCCGCTTTCTTCGTTTGAGCCTCCCAGTGGTACACGGCCATTATTTAAACCGAACACGTGTGAACTTTTTAGAGGAGTAGTAGCTTTCTTTTCAATCTGTCTCGCACGTCTCAAGATGTAACCTTCACTAACTTCCGTCTTAGTCATTGCTGACCAGACGTTAAAGACAATTACCAACATTCACGAACTCTGAAATCACTCCCGAACTTTAACCAACTTTAGAAAGTCAGTAACAAACACCCACAGCGAAATTGCCAACGTACTCCACGTCGATCGAAATCACGATTTCCGCGCAAAGGTACATCAACGCTGACTCACTCACGATCAAAACTCAATCAACTCTGTGGACATCGATTCTCAAACATTGCTTATCTAAAGCGAATTATATTCACTACCTATTAAGTAAATATCAATGTGCGAACGACCTTAAAAACATTACAGTCACAGAGTCACTCCTTCTAAAAAGACACTTAATATCGACAAATATTAATATCAACACAAACCTAAAAAGACTGGAAATGAACGAACAATTACAAAGAGAGACATTCTGAAATCTAAAACATCATACACATTTTGCCAACATAAAATATACCAATTATCCTGCTTGTATATTGTTTTGAATTAGTCCACTCGGTAAAGAGAGTATCTTTTCGGATAGACGTCTTGAAGAGAATATGCTTCTCTGTCAGGTGGAAAGGAAAACAACAACACAGATTCTGACGTACGAAATTTCTAAGGACAGGCATTGTATTCGTAGTAATTGGAAGCTTTTCTTTTTCAGGGTCGGAGAGAAAAAAAAGGCACGTAACAAATATCTACACTTTGTTAGCGCGTTTAGCTCTTCGTATCAGATAAAATTAAAAGACTTCGTTTGTTTTCCCAACTCCTCTCCCGCTGTAATGATCATCATCATCACACTCATACATACATACTTACGCAAATTCAAATTATACAACCACAAGCATTCATTGGATAATTAATTAATACTACTGTGTAATGGACAATTTATAAATCGCAGCTAAGCGACAATTTTATAATCGCTATATTTTCGTGTAGTCGATTGTGCACTTTTGGGAGAATCGGATCCCAAGAACCTTCTCAGCTTAGTAAATATTTTTCGGGAAATATCAGCTTCTAATTGGTCAATAAACACACAAGTGGGCGTTGCAATCCACCCACGTACAATATATTTTTTCCAGCGCGTGACTAAGTCAAGTTTCCCGCCAAGACGCTGTGAGCCTGTCACGTGATTACATTATCTATAAATAGTAAACACGAGTTTGCCCTTTTTTTTTTTTTTTCTCTATCCTTGCTGCAAAATGTAGTCCCAGAGAATTATCGTCTCGACCTTGCGGTCAGATGTTAAATAATATTTCACGCATTCACGTACGTACGAACAAAATACGAACATTCACCAAAGAACAAACACAAATGTTCACACTCACAAACGCAATGTTAACTGTCAATGTGCTTTGTAATTGTTTTGATATATTTATATATATATATATATATATATATATATATATATATATATATCGGTTTTGTTTTGTTTGTTTGTCTTTTTTATCTTCAGTTGGACTTAATTCAAGTTCAACATTCTCTTGTAGCTGGACCTTATTCTAGCAGGAAATTTAAACGCACGTGTTTTCTTTTCATCTTCACCTCCAGTCCTCTACACCACCGTATTTATTTTATTTTTTATTTTTTTATTTTTTAATGTTTGGATAAATATCTGTACCTACGACAAGTTGCCCGCATATGATGATTTTCTAAGCGTAGATTGTTCTAATTTCACGTACCATGTCTTTCTTTCTTTTTTTTTTTTTTTTTTTTTTTTCTCTGGATATCTCAGTTTCAGTTAATTTCCTTTAGTAACTCAGCTCTACAAGTTTTTGTTCCCTCTGCTGTGGCCAGGTATTGAACTCGCAACTCTTTGGGTCAAGTCACTTTTTGGGTTACTTCAACCAACGTTTTTATCCACTAGGCCATGTTTCGTTACGGGACACAAAAAAAAATGAAATCGCACGTGAAATCAGAACAATCTACGCCCGTGGGTTCGGTTCGAAATTCTAACGTATATTATTACCTGAAGAAGGTCGGAGCGTACAACGACTGAAACGTCGTGAATATAGCAATAAGGATGAGGACAACAGTCCGAACGATAAACAGTTAAAATACCTCATCTCAGAAATATAGACAGATATTTGTACACATATTTATTCAACCACGTACGTGTCATTTTGTTCAACTACCTTCCGCCATATTTGAGGCAGCTTCAATATTCCAACCTCCTAGAAATTGGCATCTTTCTGGCCGATGAACCAGTCTAAGTAGAGTTTACAGGCTTCCAGAGAATTGGAGTTTTTTCTATTAAAAGAATTTTGTCGAGATCAAAAGGTGCAAGATCAGGTGAGTCAGGATGGGTGGGATAGGACATCACAGTCAAGCAGTAACAATTTCTGTCGAGTCTGAATAGGGACATTAGGTCTGGCGTTGTTCAGATGGAACACGACACGCTTCCGATTGACCAATTCCAGATGCTTTTTTTTTACTAGTTGTTGTCTCTAATCGGTCCAATTGGAGGACAGTACTTGTATGAATTAAATATCTGATGTTGCAAGAAAGACTTTGTAATACACAATGTTCTTCTAATTTACCATAACACTGCATCACTTTTTTCGGAAGCAGACCGTTTTCCCCCAAGACCTTTTCCGCTCTACATTGCTGTAAATAATCTATTTGTCATCGCCTGTAACCGTTTCTTTACTTTTTTAAAGATGGTTTGTTTTTAAAAGAATGTCAATGCTTTAAAATGGCTCGTACCGATTCACGCATCCAAGTGTTGTCAAATATCTCATAACCCCCATATGAAATATATAGTTTGTCCCTACAATGCCCTATGTCGTATGACATGGATAATTTTCAATCGGCGTTTCGATTTGATCATAATTGCGACTGTAAGCTTTCTGGAATATTCTCGGTTTTCCAGATGAACATTTCTAATTCTGAACCTACCGTACCACTTACAAACAGTCCTTTGAACTACGGCACCTTCTATATAAATGGCACATAACTCTATTTGCTGTTTGTAAAGCATTTTTTTTTCTTTCTGTAAATAAGTGAATATTAAATGACGAAAATGAATCGCATTTTCTTCCATTTTCACATTTAAAGTAATATCATTTAAAATTTACACGAATCGTATAGAAAGATGTCTTGAAATGTCACCTTTCAGAATTTGTGCATAGATATAAATTCGATCATGTGTGAAACAAAATCACATGTCCAATCCAAATGTTACCTATTGGAAACTTCTACGGACTTTTTGTTATATATATATATATATATATATATATATATATATATATATATGCATTAAAACTGTTTTAACAGAGAAGACTGACCCTATTCGAGAAACGGTTACATTTAAAATGTGCTCAATACACAATTCAAAAAATCGAAAGTGGGGAGCTAGTTATGATCTAAAATATTACAAACATTAACCCTTTTTTCCGCTACCGCGTTTTCTGCACTGAGGAAGCCTTTATTAGTAGAAATCGCGCTAGAGAAAAAGGTTAGTATATATATATATATATATATATATATATATATACACTAACAGAGAGAGAGAGAGAGAGTTGAATAAAAAGACAGAAAAACT